AATGTGCCCTAGTGTGGAGTTATTGATTATTTGCCCGCAAAATATACCGCCTGTAATACCATACCTTAATATAGTCTCGAGTAACGTCCACACGATGTTCGGACTCCCTAATTACGTCCCTCAAGTTTGTTAGGAATTTTTTATGTAACGATCGAAGTATATCCGTTATTTTGGTTTTGAAAATATTCATGTAACCCATATTTGAATTTAATTTATAATATGCTGATTAATATTATTGATGACCGTTGTGCAATACTCCATCATTTATTATGATTTCGATCCGTTGGTATGATTTGTGTTGGTTTAGATAGAAATTCGGGATATAATTCAGTTTAAACTCACTGTTGTCTTAGCCTCACAGTGTATTTTAATAGGATAAGAATAACGTATCAAAATGTTTGCAGATTTACATTAAAAAATCTGTTCTTGGTACTTAACAGGGTAACGGGGCTAACTGTTAAAAAACAATCCAATCAGCCGTTTGGATCTTCTACAGCCTTTCACCAAACAGCAACAACAAGAAAATATTACATAATATCAACATTTATTATAGTATTATGTCTCTTATAATATGTACATAAACTACGGACACTTATTAGAATAATAAATTAATTACTACTTGCTTACTTCAAAATTTAAATGTTTACAAGTCAACGCGACTTACTAAATCGCAAAGTAGTGTCCATTTTGGCCGTGTGTTTTTTGTTTTAGTTTTATTTTTTATTTTTTTTTTTTTTTTACGGGCTCTTATTAGTGGACTTTATAGCCAATTGAAATGTATACACACTGAATTGCCAAACTCTACGTAGTCCTATTATATTGTTATCAAGAGCTATTAAAACGGTTCGCGGAAATATGTGTGTACGCTAGCCTTGTCGAACGCATAAATTAAATAAATTTATGTATCTTACCTTCCCAACTTCCCACCTACATGTATGACGTACCCGTTTCCAGTATCCACTGTTATTTTTAAATTAATTGAATGATAATAATAAAAAAATTAAGATTTGGTAAATATACTTACACAATTAATTATTAATGTTTATTATTATTAAATTTTCGGTAATATTATACATACTATACGCCGAGATAGACTGGCTCTTCAAACTGTCTTGAGCGGATCAATTATATAATCCATATAGGAAATCAGCCCTATTTATAGATCAGCCCAATCCAACCCTGAATACACGTCACGACTTATATACAAATATTAAATGTTATAAAATCTGTTGCTTTGATAAATCTGTTTCGTCAAATAATCTTTAGTATCTAGTTGTAGTTCGATGATTGCCAATTGTCATGTTCATGAATAAGATAAAATGTTTGAGGGATGATTCATAAAATTGACAACTTCTTATCCATCGATGCATTGGAAAACTTACTTGACCATTTCACAAAATGAGTGAAAGGTTACCCATTTCATGAGTTGCACAATTTCACTTTTAAGGTGTAACAAATATTATTTCTTGGTTCCATTCGTTTGTTTAATTCTATCATGAAATCAATCTCACGAAATAAAATAATATAAAAAATTGAATAAATTATTATGGTATATCTTGTTCGCGGAAATTGTTAGGTAGGGCAACTAAACATACTTAACTGTTGACATGTTATTTGTGAGAGCCATCGAATATGAGCAAGGCGTTTACATCATCAAAACTACATTATTATGTTAATATCAAAAATATGGATATGCCAATCATGTATTCAAACAATTCTAAACCGTGATTCAAGAGAAGAGAGAAAGGAATTGGAAGCAAAAGTGTCGTAGTCGAAGGAAGTTAATTAAAGTACTATTATGATTATTTTTATTATCGTGTGGGTCAATGTTCACGACCCAAACATAATACTGATTAACTACTTATGATTGGAATAAACCAGGTTATTGCCCTTCTACATCCTCTCTAATATTACAATTGCGCAAAAGAACTAAAAATAGTAGCGTTAGGGACGTTCTTAAGATTGGTTCAAATGCTGTTTTTTATTTCGAATTTCGAATATTAAATCTCAAAAATATGTAATTAGAAATTAGAAATTTGTATAATGTAAATACGTACAGTTGTTTATGCATAATTGATTAAATGTTAATCGCAATATATGATGCATAATACTTTGTCTAACGATAGTGGTCCCTAACTCAACATTAGGCATGGACCACTATTGTAATTTTCCACCATCACGGACAACAAATAAACGCCAATACCCCAACCACTTATTAATTTATAATTTATTCTTTATACGTGTTTAATGAAACCAGTATTATAGTAAACTTGAATTAAGTTCACGGACAACTATTACATTTACACGATAAACTTCTTTAAATATCTAAAAACGTCTAAAAAATCGAATATTGTTTTTAATATTAGATTGCAATAATTAAATTTACACTCAATTAGGGAACATCTTTGCAACAAAAAAGATCATTTACCATTTTTTTATTAGAGTCATTTTGTATTATACACGTTATTACATAATAATTAATTCATTATAAGTTTAATTTTTAGAAGACACTTTAAGAATCGTGATCGTTGTCATTATAATAATATACAGTGCAAGTTATTCAAGTAATGGTCTTAAAAGTAACATTATAATATTATACGATTAGTATTAACAACTAAATAAATAGTTGACAATCAGTTTAAGGTTAACTTCAAGATGTTTAATTCTCACTATTTTTTGGTTTTGACAATCGATTTGTCAACTGGGTGATGACGATATGTGTAAGGCACGCTGTTAACGCAATACCACTTAAGATTTTGTACGAAAAAAAACTGCCGAAACGATTGAACAAATATCCGTCGACGAAGCTTCCGATGGGTGCCCCATTAAAATAAAAAGGTAAGTGTTCATAACGGTCGTATACACTGAGAAAAAACATTTTTTTTGCGATACTCCAATACTTTGTATGTTGTGAATAAAGTCTTAAACAGTTTTTTTAAATCGGTTTTTATTATACTATTTTCTTGTTTTTGAACGATCTGAAAAAAAATTGGTTTTTTTAGGTTTTTAAACATAATTTTAGAAAACCTTATGTCCCCATAGTGTCCATTCATCCGTTCGTATAGTTGTTATTAACAACTTGATAACGGATGTTGATTTGGTTATCATAGTAATATATTATACTATTCGTAATATTAATAATATTTAATGTTAAAAATAATATTATTATTAAATCAACCTCGAGTATTAAATTATAAATGCGTACTGGCCAATATAAAANTATTACCGAATTCATTCAATCTTATATACGGAGTTAAAGAGTATTTTTAAAATACGTTTAGTGATCGTGAAATGTCCATGCTTCCATGGTGAGCTTTTCTAACTTGTTTAGAATAAACTAATATTCGACCCCACTACGTTCAAGTATATTGATTTATGTTATTATATAATTTTTGAGGAAACGTTTTTCTAAAGTAAATGTAGTATGTGTTGAGTTTCACTAACACATGCACTAACGATTGTTTTGTTAACACTGACATTTCGTATTCAAAAATGTTTTTTTCGTACTAAATGTATACAAGGTACTTGCTTTGATTTTTGACACATCGTAAAAGTCCAAGGCGTAAAGAGTCAGTGAAGTTATAAAACAGGGTAAATAGTTTTTGTGCTTTTGACCCTTGCTGAACCAGTCTATACAAGCGCCGAATATGATGGACATAGGATGGGGTACTATGTCAAACTGATCCCCACACTCGTTGTTCGCCATATTTATGTTTGTCGTCACCTGGAAAGAAACGAATTAACAATAGCGCTAGCACTATGGTCAACATTAACGTAGATTTAGTGGTTTATTCTAAAAAAAAAAAAAAAACCTAATAGATACAGGATAAATCTTANCAACAGATTGCATTTTTCGTATAGCCTCCCCTCCTATTGCTTCTTTTCTTACACCGACGTTCTTGTTGAGCTTTGTAAACTAATAATCAACATTTCTTATAGGCTCAATCTCATTTCTACTCATCTGCTCTATAGCTGTCTTAATTCGATAGCCTACCATTTATTCCTTTTTTACGACGCCCTCTTTCTGAAGGTATCTTCTCTGACACCTGTGAGATCAGTTCTATAACACCTATTCTAAAATCTGGTGACCCATCAGATGTCTCTAACTATAGAACTATATCCATTCTTCCACATCTTATAATCTTACCTCATCAACATATTCGAATCAATAACTTACTTTTTTGTTAAGGAAAGTCCCAATTAGGAAATTATGGATAACCAGCACTGTTTCTGTCCCTGTAGGTCTACTACATCTAGTAGCGTAACACCACGCCACCGAAGCTGGTCCCAAATCAACCACAGTCTTCTTATAAAATTCCGTAATATCATCGACCTAGGCAACACTCTCCTCTCCTTAGTTATTTCCTATCTCCGTTATTAATGCTCCAACAGATTCTGAATTGAGCAAAAAATATATAAGTTTTACAATGATGTTTAATTTATTTTTTAAATGGACACATTGACTACAATGAAACATATCAAGTATATCACGTTTCAGATAGGAAATGTGCTTTGGATGGTACTTTAGAGAGATCATTTTTTAAATTCTCTTTTATATTCGAAATATTAAAGAAATCCTGGTTCTTTAGATTGAAACATATTAAAAGATAAGAAAATAAGATTGTCATTGGTAACTGTTTTCATTTACTTTTTGTTATTATTAGGTTTTCGTTATTTTAATATTTATAGAAATAATCATTGTTGTTCTGGAGATGCACGTTGTTAAGATCATTTTACCAAAATATTACTTTTCGTTTAAAAAGTCAACACAATCAATTTTTCTCAGAATCGTTATTTGTAACCAATAATTTTTCTTTGCTTACAGGTATGCATTAAAATTCCGTCTGTTACTTTTTTTTCTGACTTCTCGGCAACAAAAGTGGCTGCACATATTCGTAGTCATCGAAGTGCTTACCTAATAAATCTACACAGATTGTATCGTTCACTATGCTTTGAATCGTGATTGTCGTGTGTAATATTACGACCATAGTGAAGTACAATCAAAACAGCGGCGTTCGGAAGAGGACGTCATCGTCAATTTCACCATACACGACCGGGCCAGGCATCAGCATCAACGCACACACCGTCATGAAACCAATCACTACGGTTATCATTAACGCTAACTTAGGACATTTGTACTTATTCACAATGGCGCCAACGAGTGGTCTCATCACTAATGACGGTAACGGAGATATCCTCAATATTATACCGACGACAAACGGCGAATAACCCTGTTGTTTTGACATGGTCGACAGAAACGGAATGATCGGCACGTTAACACATAATATGATAATCATACAATTCAAAGGTATAAGATACAATAAAATCATTTTTCGACAACGGACACTTGGGTGGGTTAGAAAGATTCCGATGTTACGATGACGGATCGTACGAATATTCTATTTAAATTAAAAACATTATCAATAATCTCTATATTATCATTTTTATTATAATTATACATTGGAAAAATACTTGTCGTAGTTGACACAATTTATTTAGGATTGTTGAAAACTGTCACAGCCTCATAATTCACAAGTTACAATATGTTGAACATATCAACAGTTATTATTGCAACCATCATAGAATCAGACGAAAATGAAAGAGTTCCTGCAAATAAAAGATATTCGATGCATCCTTATGGTAATGAGAAAGAATGTTTTGTGTACCATGTGCGCTGGAATTGTTAGGTGCAGCAACCAAACATACTTATCTGTTGACATATTATTCGTGGAAGCCATCGAGCATGAGCACGGCGTTCCCATCATCTATATTATAATCACATATTATCATATTATTAAAGATATAGATAGGCCATTCCAATGATCTACAAATTTTAATCCTAGATCCAAAATAAGAGGGCTGGGTATTGGGATCAAAACTATCATAGGTTAGAGGAGTTAATTTAGGTATTTTTATTATTAGTTTTATTACAGTGTAAGCCAATATTCAAAACCACAAAAACAATACTGGCGCTCTATTTATGACTGAAACATACAACTTTATTGCAATTTTACCTCCTCTTTAATGTACAATTGAACATATAAATTGATAACAGCAGTGTATGGAGAGCCGTTCTAATTGTTTCAAATTTTGTAATTTATTTCGAATTTCGAATTGAAAACATAATTAAAATCAAACCAGAAATTAGTACAACGTAACTACGAATAAGTGTACTAAAATATATGAGTAGTTTAAAGTTAAATAAACGGTTGAATTTAAATCGAAATATAAATAAACCTAATAATTTAATGTAACTCATGGCTGTGCGATTACATTGCCATACCCTTACGTATATACGTTGTAATGTGGTGTATTTTAATAATAGGCCTATCCATATCTTTAATATCTATGATGATTTTAAATTCTCTGCCTGTGTTGACTCTGTCTTTTTGACCCGCATACAAATCTACTAAAGCAACGATCTTATTATTATTATTTGGAGTATTAAATTAAAGAAATATTTTCGGCTTTTTTTACAATGAAATTTGTTAAAATGAAATTATTTTCGTCGACATTGACAATAATTAATAATATTTAATAATCATTAAAAACCATAAAAAGGCTGTGTTCACCAAGACGTCATTCGAAATTTATCTGTTAGTAGCCCCAAGCCCTTCGATTTAACATTATACACGGACTATTATTGTAAATTTTTTACCACCCCCGATCCCTACATGAATTCACTCGGATTTCTGATATGGATTCAGTATTCTTTGAAAAAGTAAATAAGTTCTAATTTTTAGTTGAAATTCTCAGTTCCATTAACGGCAAGATAGGCGTGAGGACAGAAAAGGTGGAAAGCACGTCATTTGCATTGTCAAACTTTTTTAAATATCTAAAAACTTATCAAAAAACAAATTAAAGAAATGGATTTAGTGCCATTTCCTAGCCTTGTTAAAGTCAAAGAATACAGTGGCTGTGGTATATTATAATAAGAGGAAGCAGAGATGACACCGTAACTCATAAGGGAAATCCTGGAGTGGTAGCCTGAAGGTAAAATATCTCGGGACGGGCCACCACGGAAGAGGTGATAAGATATAGTGTAATGAGAACATAAAGCTTTATAAATGCGAGATTGGAATAGTCCAAGACCGAAAGTTATTTAGGGTGATAAAGACTCAGTGGTAGTTTTTTTTTTTTTTTAGATGCCAATGATGATAAAATATTATATGATGTCCAATATTATACCCTTTTGATACAAATACCTAAATTTAACTGCTATGTTAGACATTGTCTAGTTTCTGTGCCAGGGACGTACAAAGTACATATGTTTTTAACGTTCTATGACAATTTAATGGGTCCGAAGGTAAAATAAAAAAAAAATTGTCATTAAAATAATAATTTCTACGTTTTAAAGATCGTCGTCGGCAGGTAAATGCGTATTATACAACATTATAATATTATAATAATATTACACTTGTATGTTGGGCACTTTGGTCATTTTTTTTACAGTTCGTACCGTACACATATGGTCGTAGTACACATTCATTTAAACTGCTACAAACAAAGGTACCTTAACAATATTATAATATCGGAGATATTATTAAAGTTTTACTTTCGTCGGAAAACACGTTAACGAATATTATTATAATATTATAATGTAATAGGCACACGCATGGGTGTGTGTGTTTAAAATAATAATAAAAAAAAAAAAAAATTGAGAATAATAAAAGCAATATTTTCGTAAATTGTCCTGTTTTTATCTATGTTTTTTGTTCAAATACTTTAAAAACTGCCTGGAAAATCAAAAAATAACCCCAAATGATCACCCAAAAAAATACCTTTTTTGGAAAAGATGCTCTACTTGAAAATCGGAGCAAAATTTCTGGTAGAATTTATGTACACAGTAGAAAAAAAAAATTAACACCATTGTAAAACCAATACATTTCTCGTTCCACTCAGAATCTTAAAGCTGATATACTTCGTACCACGCGTGGGCCACTGTTGTTAATTGGAAATGTAAAGTATGCATAATTCTAATTTATATGCGTACGTAATGATAAATCAATGTAAACGAAAACGACTCTGAAGAATGATGGGTTCAACATGGTTTGACAAATTCAAATTTTAATTTGTATATTAATTCGTTAATATACAACGAATTAAAATTATTGTGCTAGATAGTTAATATATGTTCTGAACATAATGCATTTTTTAATTTTTTGGAAGATTTCTGGAAAGCTTCACTCCACTCAAATTGTACGTTTTTCATAATAAATTCGTTATTGGTTTTGTTGCGTTGTAAGATTCTATGAACTTTCAATAATACCCTGACAAATCTAAAAATGATTTAATTCCTTTTACATTTTTGCGTATCAGGAATTCTAAACGTTTTTTTTTATCTTTTTCGGATCAGGTTTTATTCCGTGTTTAGTTTTTATGTGTCCTAATTACGTGCACTCCTTATTTAGAAATTCGCATTTATCGGGTTGGACTATTTAATTTTTATAAATTATTATTTCTTAATCGTACATTTTTTTTTTAGTATTTTTTTTTTTTATGCACAAATTCTATGCTATACCTTTAACATGGCCAACCAATTACGATCATAATCATAAGCCTACCCAGCACAATCCTGCTCTTGTGCGGGAGCTATACCTATGCAACGGGCCAACTTAGGAATAGGACTTGCGAGGAAAAATGTTTGAAATAAATCAAACTCCAACTTGAATTTATAAATTATTCATATTTTCCACACAAAATAAAAGTCCAATAAATATATTCGCCTTATGAAATTATGGTCAGGAAACGTCGAGCCATGTTTAAAATTAGGAGAACCGGCGTTTGCGGAGACATCAGATCCTAGGACCTCAACCCGGTGGAAGAATGTAATAGAAGAATACACTTCAGGCAGCCTCACAAGACTGCTCACGTGAACGGGTGATGCATCCGCAACCATAGGTAGTTGGATTTCCACCTAACCCTAATCCTCAGCGGCCACGGCCGCTTCGAAGATTATCTGAACAGGATTGGAAAGTAGCCGTTTCAATAAAGTGCATAGTGCTTTTATAGTTTATTGACAGAACACGTGTTTTACTAAATAAGTATTTTGGTTTGTTTGTTAAGTATTTCTTTAAATTGAGAGATTTTGATTAAGCAACGGCATGAACAGTTTTTTTTGGTATTAAATATCGAATATGATAGTTATTTTATCAAGTTGATTAACGAATAGGTGTGTTTATGCAGGTAATATAAAGATAAAACCTATTCCATCAAAACACAATTTTATAACAGGTACTCCACAATTAAGATTGTAAGTAAATTAAATATTCATTTCAGACCACCGTGCGGTGTTCGGAACACCATTTAATTCTTCTATATTTTATTATTCAGCAAAAGCAAATTGAAAATACGCATTTTTCATTCAATAAATAAAACGCGGTACTGGTAATAGTGGAAACATCACATTACAAAAAATATATATACATAAATATATGTTTGTACAAATTATAATAAAAAATGGTGAACTCGCAAAATGTAAAAACAAGTTTTTTCAATTTAAATTGGAAGCTTCTACCGTTGAAAATACATTACTTTTTAACAGATTGCTGTAAGTACATTATTCTTATTAAACGCGTTATCATTAATGTTAATATCATGAATGTGATATTGTGAATAATTGTATTATTTATCAACCGTTTTATGTGTTTAAAATAATTGACATTTCTTTTAATGAATAAGATTTAAAAAGAGTAAAACGAGTTAAAATATCGTGGGAACTGATTGAAAATTATAATCATAACTCTTGTAGAAATCTTTCGAATTATAGCAAAGTTTCACACATGACATAATACATGCATGCGTTGTAACCTGTATGAGTTCAACTACAATTACTTACAATTCACTTACGGATTTAATATTACAAAAATTAACATAAAACTTTAAATTATTTATTTTGGGGGAAAAAAATATTTATTTTAGAAATAATAGTATATTTTAAAATTGTTAAAATATCCATCACAGGAGAGCACTTATTAAGGATGTGGGTCTATGTTTCTAATAACCACCATGCAAAAAAAAAAATTAAAAAAAATTATTTATTCTTACCTTGACATAAAATTGTAATCCTTTATAACTAATACCAAATTGAAGTACTCATATTATTGAATAAGTGGTATATAAATCATACTAGAATAAAACCGAATTAATAAAAGATAACCGTGTATCTCTAGCTTATGTCTGATGGTATAAATTATTTAATACACGTACAAATTGCTATATTAAACAGTAAACACTAGTAGTGTAATAGTAGTAGTAGTATATAAGTAAGCACTAAGGATATATATACGATTTCCCGCTATCTTCCAACGTCTCTATAATTTATTTTATAAACGTACTTATAGCTATATTAAACAGTAAACTTGATAATTACCATAATAATAATAATAATAATTAGGATTATAATATTTAGTAATTAGTTGTAACTTTACGATGTCAATGTATACGATAATTCTGCATTCTCAGAATACTGCAGCATATGGGTTAAAATAAAATTTAATAAAAAAAAAATCTTATTCTTCCAGCGTTTATATTTTTACAAAAAACGCTCGGACTATTTTTAGGGAGTTCTTGGTATAAGCTACTGACAATTCAATTTCAAACAGGTTTCGTGCAAGATGTCATAAGCACTAAGGATTTAAATATGATTTCCCGGCTATCATCCAACTTCTCAATAAAACAGTGGTCCATTAATATTACGAATTACGTTTGTATTTTTACAATACATGTGAGATAGGCCATGAATTTAAATTCAATCAGAGAAGGGCTTTGAAAAATATTTCGCTTCGGGCAAGTTCGACCACTTCGGGTCGAACTTGATTACATAAATAACAATTGAGACGAGCCGAATTTTTTTCTAAACCAGTCGGTCCAGAAAACAGCAAAAGTCTGTAATATAAAACTGTTAAGGTACAGTTTCTAAGGCGTGAAATGTCGCGGGTACATTGTTTTTATGCGATCTCTGTGAAATAGATTTGTACATGGAATTGTGATGACTGAAATTTATCGGCACTACCGGAATTGGTCCGAAAGCAGTGTATAGCGAACGTCACACGCAGGACATAATGCAAAATCAGTTTTTTCTGATGAAGGAAAAGAACATCAAGAAGAACATCATATTCGTACGATCCGTCATCGTAACATCGGAATCTTTCTAACCCCACCCAAGTGTCCGTTGTCAAAAAATGATTTTATTGTATCTTATACCTTTAAATTGTATGATTATTATATTATGTGTTATCATCGTTCAGCGAACGTGCCAATCCTCTCGTTCCTGTCGACCATGTCAAAACAACGAGGTTATTCGCCGTTTGCCGTCGGTATAATATTGACGATATCTCCGTTACCGTCATTAGTGATGAGACCACTCTTTGGCGCCATTGTGGACAAGTACAAATGTCCCAAGTTAGCCTTAATGACGACCATAGTGATTGGTTTCATGACGGTGTGCGCATTGATGCTGATGCCTGGCCCGGTTGTGTATGGTAAAATTGACGATGACGTGGTCTTCCGAACGCCGCTGTTTTGGTTGTACTTGACTACGATCGTAATATTTCACACGACAATCTCGATCCGAGGCATGGTGGAAGATACAATCTGTGTTAATCTATTAGGTAAGCACTTCGATGGCTACAGTTTTAAATTATAAATTATTTTATTGCTTGTATAAGATAAGTTATGGAGATAGTTCTATAGTTAGAGACATCTGATGGGTCACCAGATTTTAGAATAGGTGTTATAGAACTGATCTCACAGGTGTCAGAGAAGATACCTTCAGAAAGAGGGCGTCGTAAAAAAGGAATAAATGGTAGGCTATCGAATTAAGACAGCTATAGAGCAGATGAGTAGAAATGAGATTGAGCCTATAAGAAATGTTGATTATTAGTTTACAAAGCTCAACAAGAACGTCGGTGTAAGAAAAGAAGCAATAGGAGGGGAGGCTATACGAAAAATGCAATCTGTTGGACGGACTACAGGAAACAATTCATAAAATAAATAATAAGATGTAATAACATTTATCCTGTATCTATTAGGTGTTTTTTTTTTTTTTAGAATAAACCACTAAATCTACGTTAATGTTGACCATAGCGCTAACGCTATTGTTAATTCGTTTCTTTCCAGGTGACGACAAACATAAATATGGCGAACAACGAGTGTGGGGATCAGTTGGATGGGGTACTATATCCATCATATCCGGCGCTTGTGTAGACTGGTTCAGCAAGGGTCAAAAGCACAAAAACTATTTACCCTGTTTTATAACTTCACTGACTCTTTACGCCTTGGACTTTTACGATGTGTCAAAAATCAAAGCAAGTACCTTGTATACATTTAGTACGAAAAAAACATTTTTGAATACGAAATGTCAGTGTTAACAAAACAATCGTTAGTGCATGTGTTAGTGAAACTCAACACATACTATATTTACTTTAGAATAACGTTTCCTCAAAAATTATATAATAACATAAATCAATATACTTGAACGTAGTGGGGTCGAATATTAGTTTATTCTAAACAAGTTAGAAAAGCTCACCATGGAAGCATGGACATTTCACGATCACTAAACGTATTTTAAAAATACTCTTTAACTCCGTATATAAGATTGAATGAATTCGGTAATATATAGTATATCAACTAATGTTTGTGTGAAAACTTAAATAAATATAATATCTCCATTTTTTAATAGTTCATAGGACATTTGTTTAAATTTCTTAATATTAATATTTTGGTAGATATCTATTTCTTTTATATTGGCCAGTACGCATTTATAATTTAATACTCGAGGTTGATTTAATAATAATATTATTTTTAACATTAAATATTATTAATATTACGAATAGTATAATATATTACTATGATAACCAAATCAACATCCGTTATCAAGTTGTTAATAACAACTATACGAACGGATGAATGGACACTATGGGGACATAAGGTTTTCTAAAATTATGTTTAAAAACCTAAAAAAACCAATTTTTTTTCAGATCGTTCAAAAACAAGAAAATAGCATAATAAAAACCGATTTAAAAAAACTTTTTATGACTTTATTCACAACATACAAAGTATTGATTTTTATCTTTTGGATAATAATCCTTGGATTTTTTGATTCTTTTATAATGTATTTCTATTTTTGGTAAGTAACTGTCTATAGTAATTATTGTTCGAAAACGTTATGATTTTTTTTTTCACAATGATGATTATAAAAGTCATAAGTAATAAAATAAAATAAAAATGTTTAGCTTTTAACTGGATATCCAATATAAAATTGTTTATATACTATTACGTTTAAGGTATTTGGAAGATTTATCAAATATTTATCATCCAGAGACGAAACCATGGATAAAGACGATCCAAGGACTTACATTGACGATTCAATGTTTCGGTGGAAATTTTCCGTTTTTCTATTTATCTAGTGAGTGTATGGCATGATCACCCATTTCATCACATGCTCAGGGCCCATACTCTCTGAGTATCTTTTATTAGTATTTATTTTTTGTCTATTCTTTCTATAGTCATATGTTTGTTCTAAGTTAAAGATGTAATAATTTCTTGCTTCATTGTTATTTGACAATTTGTATTTATTGTTTCAAATAAGTAAATATTATCCATTCCAACCTATTTGACATCGTTTCAGTGCTTCTTAACATGAATCTTCAATCTCTTTCTGATGGCCGACTTACTAATCACTTAATCTTCCATCAGTATTCCATTAGAAATAAAATTTATTATTCCATTCTCCTTCCCTTCTTCGACATGTTTACCTAAGAATATCTCTGCACCTTACCTGTACCATTACTCCATTTATCTTCTTTCAATTCCTACGAATTACCTAAAGACCAGTCACTTTCAAATTTTATCTGTGCGACCCGTTTTTTTTTTTTTATAAATAATTTAAAAACATAAAACGCAACATTTGGAAATCAGTCCACAAAATCACACGAGTTATCCGAGCTGGTGAAATTATAGTCTATTTATTTACCAATTTGTTGATGTTTAGTAAGTTGTGAACATAATAGTAATGTAATTATTATTATGCCAATAATTGTTTAACCACTGCTCTTTTAAAATATAACTTATTGTATAATACATCATTGTGTTATTTACCTTTACAGGTTTTATTCTCAAACGTGTTAAAGCCGAGTACGTAGTGTCTTCAGTGTTTTTGACGTTCGCCGTAAGATTCTTTCTCTATTCAGTCATCGAAAATCCCTTTTGGGTTCTACCTGTTGAATTTCTTAACGGCATCACATTTGCATTAGCATTGTCAACAATAATTTCGTACATGTGTCGTTCGGCACCTACCGGTATCGAAGCTACGGTAATGGGCATCATCTATACAGCTTTATATGGAATAGGTTTGCAACTTATTATAAAGATATCAATATGCACCGATTTTAAATGTATATTTAAGGTACTCGTTCTATACGTCATATTATTTCTTCCAAACACAAACAAATAATCTACGTTTGTAATTTTTAGTCTAACTTGTTTTTTATACTACACAATAAGAATTACTTTTTTTTTTTTTAAAAACCTCTTGAAAGCTTTTATTTTAACGATCAAAATAAATCTTTAACAATACATTATCAAAGGTGTACATAAATACTTATGATGTATTTGTACACAAAAAAAAAATAACATGTGTGGATCTCACTCCCAGTGGAGTGGCCCCGATCTTAGTCAAAGAGTCCTATACTAATTCATATTGTCTTCGACGTTTGAGATTTTTAATGTCTAGAGAGCTTTCTAGTAGTTGAATTACTACTGGATTACTGTGTTAATCCAGTCTTTTCTCATGTTTGCGGGCACACTTGATAATCTCGTCCTAAACGAAGGTGATCATCATATCTCAGTGGATAATGTTTTTTCTGTCATACCGGTAAGCTGCGACAATGGTACGGAGAGCGATGTTCTGGCAACGTTGTATAATCTCAATATTGGACTTGCTGGCACAATCCCACAGTTGAATTCCATAAGTCCATATTGGTTAAGTTATCATTACGTACAAGAGGCGTTTACTTGTGAGGTCTAGTTCGGAATATTTTCCGACCAGCCAATATGGTTTTATTGGATATTGTATATTGTATATTGATATTGTATATTATACATTCTCTTCTTAATTTGCAGTTTTTTCTGTATAACGTGGTGCTACCAATTGAACCGAGAGTCCAGGTGCATTCCTAAATATTTTGCTAAGTCACACTGTGGGATGCTCTGCTGATCTAGTAATACCAGTTTATAGACTGTTTTATGCAAGGTGTAATTTACGTGCATCGATTTTTCACTGTTAATTTTAATCTTCCAACGTTTCGTCTAGTTGGAAACGTTTTTAATGGACCTTTGAAGCCAATCAGTCGCAGTCTGCTGGTCTTCATTTGTTGTCATTATTGCCGTGTCATTAGCAAACATGGCTGTCATTGAATAGTTGTTAGTTGGAATGGCCGCTGTGTATAGTAAGTACAGGATTGGTCCAAGGACGCTTTCCTGTGGTACACCCGCCGATATGTTTTTCCAATCAATTAATGCTTCTTTGTGAATGACTCTGAATTGACGTTCAGTCAGGTAAGATTCGAAAAGTGCGCACCAGGTGTGTGGTAGCTGTTCACGTATTTTTATAAATAATCCTTTGTGCCAAATTTTATCGAAAGCTTGTGCCACGCCAAGGAATACTCCGCAGCAATACTTTTTCTCTTCAAGCGCTTTGCTTATTACGTTAGTGACACGTGAATCTGGTCAATTTTTGAGTGTTTATTTTGAAATCCAAATTGATGTTTCGGTAAAAACTGTCTTTCTTCTATCAACGGTTTTAAGCGTTTTAGAAAAAATGTTTCGAATAATTTTGAGATGCTTAGAAGAAGCGAAATTGGTTTATATGAAGTTACTTGTTCTTATAGTTTTTCTGGTTTAAATACCATGATCACTTGGGCTCGTTTCCATTGTTTAGGAACGTATTACATACGTAGGAATGCATTGAGTATGTGTGTTAAATGAATCATAGCTTTTTTAGATAAATCTTTCAGGATTTTTGGATTAATTTGGTCGTACCCAGGTGCCTTTTTTGGGTTGATATTTCTTGTTTGCAAATTTCTTTTGCGATTTCAACTGGAGTAAAATACTTTATCTTACCGCGTGTTTCATTTTGTGGTTGACACTGAGCTATGTCGAGTTCGAAAACCACTTCGTATGGTTGAAATACACGTTCTAAATAACGTGCTTACATATCTGCTTTATCTTGTTCACAGCGTGCCCATGATCCATCTTCCATTCGGATCGATGGCACATAGGCTCAAGGACTCTTCATGCGTCCATAATAAATAATCAGTGTTATTCGTTGCAGAAAGTTCACTTAAGTATGATTTGAACGTTTCGTTTTTTACTTTTTTAATTTTGTCATGTAAAAGTTTGCTAGCACGATTCCAGACGGTTTTATCCGAAGGATCTCTCGTTTGTTGCCATTTTTTCCATGCTTTTCGTTTTTGTTTTACTAGTTTCCATTGGGTAGGTAATCTCATGCTTTCCACCTGTTGGTGTTATGGGTGTTGCCGCTTTCGCCGCTTTTACGATGGTATAAGTCAATTGTTTAACAGCACTATCAATTTCAATAGGTGTTTTTAGTCTTAATGTGAGGGTCAAGGTCTCGTCTAAATTCGTTCTAAAGAGGTCCCTATTTGTTTTCTTGTTGATTAACAACATCTTTCGTTGTTTATATATAACATTAGAACTTAACGTGAGAAGCACTGGTATGTGATCTGACGTTAACTCTGTTAGTTCTAATACTTCGATATAATTAGAAGATATACTTTTCATAATAAAGAAGTCAAGCAGGTCGGGAATCTTGTTCGGATCAGTGGGCCAATACGTTGACTTACTTGTAGTGATGATTTCAGCATTAATTTTTTTTGCAACTATTAACAAGGCTCGTCCCTTTGGGGCGATCAGTCTTGATCCCCAGTGAGTATGCTTGGTATTATATTCATCTCCAACAATGAATCTAGAATCTAACGTATGGAAAAATTCAGCGAACTTAATTTCATCTGCACATCCTTGCGGCGGGCAATAAATTGCAGCAATGGCGAGACCGTTATTTCCGTCATTAACGCTGACGCTTGTCGCTTGTATATGATTTACAGAGAATTTTTCGAGTTTATAATGCTTTATGGACTCTTTTATTATTACAACAGTACCACCCCGAGCTCTACCACTAGGATAAATTGTCGTATATATTCTGTAATTCCTTATCTTAAGAAAGGTCCACGTTGTGAAGTGAATTTCCGAAATAAGGGCATTTTCAATGTTTTCACTGTGTAAAAGGTCTTCAAGTTCTTGTCTGCGCTATACTAACCCATTGGCGTTCCATGCAATGATCCGCAGTGTACTTTTCATTTCTTTATTTTCTGCGAGATATTTTTGGACTTTGTCTGGTTTATTTCCAGTTTGTCCATTCTTGCTGTGATATTTGCTAGTGTCTGCGTTACGTTGGTTAACGTGACTAGAATATTATTAAGAATAATCGATTCTTCGTTTCCCTTTGATGGAGATGTTTTTGGATCGACTTTTGAAATGCTAGCCATCTGCGCGTATGAAGCATTTGCTGTGACAGGTTTCTACTATATTCTTTGCACAGTAGACACTTGTTTTGGGTGTGCTCTTTCTATTGTTTTTGTAAGCAGAGCAATCTTTCTAGTTGGCTGTATAATTTTCACCACAGTATGCACATTTTGCTTTTGCCCTTTTAGATTTTGGGCAATCTTCGGTTTTGTGTCCTTCACTAAATTTTACGCATACAGCCGATTTGTGACAGTAATAATGTGTGTGTCCGAGAGCTTGGTAGTTCTTACACTGCGGTTCTCCTTTTTTTTACGTGGTGGTTCTATTTTTATTATTTAATGACATAGTAGTTTTATGTTTTAAATGGTCTTTATTATTCTCTAGTGGTTTTAAATCTACAAAGAATAATGGTAGCCTTATTTATTTCCACTTGCTGTTTTTGTTTTTAGGATCAGATTTTTCCTTGATCTGTAATATTGGTTATTTTGCTTACTTCGTGGCCTTGGTCATACAGTTCATTGGTAATTATTCCTATATCGGAATCATGATTTATACTTCGTAATACTTCTCGAAATGGTTTTTCACTTTTTAATTTGTACCGATGGTATTTAACTTAATATTTTTCTAATATTTTTATTGGACTTCTGAATTGACTTTCACATATTGTTAAGATTCTCGTCTGGTTATTTGATAGGATTTTGAATTGTTGTTCGTTTCCTACTGGTTCTTCACACGTTAATAATTGTTTTAATTTATCAAATTGTTTAACACCTTTGATAGATATTGGTGAGGGTTTATATATTTTTTGAGTATTATCATTAGTTGGGTTTTTGTTACTATTTTGTTAAACTTTTGAAGTTACGTTAACATCTTTTGATACTGATATGTTAGAAATAGGGGTCGTTTTTTCTAAGTTGTTATCTATTTTTGTAATTATTTGTGACAATTTCAATGCCAGTATCAATTAACTATTTTTTATTTGTAGTAATTTTTAACTTGCTTGTAGTTCTGCTACTTGGCGGTGGAGTTGTTCGTTGGTGTGTTTTAATTCGGTTAAAATATTATGCATTTCTGCATAGGTTAGCAGATCTGGTTGCATAGGTCCGTCCATAGCTGTGCGCGTCACGCGACGGTGGGAACCACCGACACGCCGTTGCACGAGCGTATAACCTACTTAATATTATTATTTAGACACTTACCAATTCTCGATGAGCATGGTAAGCATTTATATGTTATTAAATTAATGAAAGAAAAAAACAACGCGAATGATGGCACTCGAAAGGGAGAACATCCGTGTTGCTCGTTCAGCAAACAAATCGCGACTAATAAGAATTACTTCTCTGAATTTAATCGAAAACGTTATATCGATATCTGGATGTGTACCTGTGAAGAACGTATTATTATTGTTGAACGAGTACCAAGAGAAAAAAAAATGTTTTAATTTTTCCGGTTAAAACGACCGTTACGCATACTTGTTTTATTTTCTAGGAGTACCTATTGGAAGCTTCGTCGGCGGATATTTGTTCAATCGTTTCGGCAGTATTTTTTCGTTCAAGATTTTAAGTGGTATGGCGGTAACATCGTGCGTTTTACATATCGTCGTCACCCAGTTGACAAATCGATTGTCAAAACCAAAAAATAGCGAGGAAGAAGCGCGTTGATGTCAAACTTTTTTTCAGTGTATAATATGTATAATTAGAGATAATTATTTCGAAAAAGGCATTAAAAAGCAAGGATACTATGATTCTTCTATTTTATTTTGTGCGTTCTTTACATTGTTGTGCTGAACAACAAACTATCCAAGGAAATAAGCTATTTATTAAATTGTTAAATTGAAAAAAAATGTTTCATAAAAATAAAACACTTATATTTATTATCAACAATGAACAACATCGTTTTAATAGAAACATTAGTTTTCTTAAAGACATAAATGGCACCTATGGTGTTAGACGGCATAAATGAGCCAATGTTCTTTAACAGCTAATCATGAAATNAATGCGACTTTTTTTAAAAACATAATATGTATTTATTTTTGTGTAAATTATGTCTTCCAAAGATCATTACGATATCTTGAGTGTGAGCACGTATTAATTAAGTTAAATTGTGTGCGGGCCGGATTAGTCACAAAGGGGGACCACGCCTAAAACCGGGAGGTAAGATTTCTATGGTCACGTTGGGTCTATTATAATTAACAAAATCGATATAAAGTACAATAAAATAAAGTGTTTCCATTTTAACACCGAATTCAATGGAGAACATATAATAAAAATAGCAAGACGCGTGAAGCCGATCATCGATGCTTAGATCATTAATTTTCAGGTATATATAGAAAACGTGAGTAACGAAATAATGTAGT